CACACACACACACAAGAAAAGGTGTCACCCGCGTTAAAGTGTTTTTGAAAACTAATTGATTTTTAATTACTAAAAGTCATAAAATCTGTTAAGGGTTCTAAGTAACATAAAAATGAAGAGATTTATAGAAATTTATGTTTGAAAATGTTTAAATTATTGATTCTCTTAGTAGGTGGGTGTTTCCCCATAACAAATTTTTCTAATAAAAATTACTTTAAAACTAGTTTTAACAAAATTTGTTGCCATATAATTCCTGGGAATTGAAAACTTTCACTTTAAATAACTAATTTTTGTTTGCTAATAAGAATTCTACACTTTTCTCAAGTTTTTATAAATTCCCATTTTCTTTACAAAAATCCCCTCATCACAAAATTTGCTCAAAACTGCTTAAAAATAATTTTTGGAAAAAAACTGACTAACAAACTTAAGTTGTGCCTTAATTTTAAGAATTCCCATTTGTTTTATACAAAATCACTCTATTTTAACTTCCCGAGATTTTTGTTAAACACCTGGGAATTAAAATTTTTGTTATAAACTGACTAATTTATGTTTTGCTAAAATGATTACTACACTTTTTTGCCTTATTTTTAAGAATTTCTAATTTCTTTATACAAAATCCCTCAATTTTCACTTCCCCAGATTTTCGTTAAAATCCTGGGAGTTAAAATTCTTGGTGTAAAATAGCTAATTTATGTTTGCTAATAAAATTTCTACTCCTTTTGCAAGTTTTTACAAATTCCCATTTTCGTAACAAAAATCCCCTCATAATAAAATTTGCTCAGAAATGCATGAAAAACTCATTTTTGAGGAAAATTAAATTAAAAAACTTAATTTTTGCCTTATTTTTAAAAATACCCATTTTTTCTATACAAAATCCTGCAATATTCACTTCCCCAGATTTTGTTAAACTCCTGGGAATTAAAATTTTTGGTGTAAAATAACTAAATTATGTTTGCTAACATGATTTGTACACTTTTTTCAAGTTTTTACAAATTCCTATTTTCCTAACAAAAATCCCCTCATGACAAAATTAACTCAAAAAAGCTTTAAAAGCAAATTTTTGGAGGAAAATAAAATAACAAACTTAATTTTTGCCTTATTTTCAAAAATTCCCAATTTCTTTTCACAAAATCCAGCAATTTTCGTTTCCCGAGATTTTTGTTAAATCCCCTCATAATGAAACATCTATAAAAAAGCGTTAAAAACCTATTTTTGGAGTACAACAATATAATAAACTTAACAATTAACTTATTTCTATGAATTCCCAATATCTTCATAGAAATTCCTTAATTTTCTTAAACTGAGATTTTCAGAAATCTCCTGGGAATTGTTAATTTTTATGGGAAATGTTATATTTTCAATTTCTATAAAGTTTTCTTTACTTTTTAGCATATTTAACAAATTCCCAAAAACTTTTCAAAAATCCCCTTTTCAAAAATTTTCCCTAAAAAGTTATTTTGAAATGATTTTGTTTAAAACTTATATAGAATTTTAAATTTGTAAACATTTGATAACATTTTGTATTTGGATTTACAGTTTATTTTGATATCCTATTTACAATTTTTCTGGGATTGTGACGGGATTGCAGAAATTCATGAAATTTATTAATTTTTTCAAGGGAATGTTGTTAATTTCTAAAATATTTATTAATTCGTTAGTTATTCCCAATTTCTTTTCGAAAATTCCTTCATTTTGTTAAACTGGGATTTTCAGAAAACTCCTGGGAATTGTAAAATTTGTTGGCAAATGTTATATTTTCAATTTCTATTAAGTTTTCTTTACTTTTTAGCAAATTTTACAAATTCCCAAAAACATTTCAAAAATCCCCTTTGTAAAAATTTCCCCTAAAAAGATATTTTGAAGGGATTTTGTTTCAAACTTATATAGATTTTTAAATTTGTAAACATTTTATAACATTTTGTGTCAGTTTTTGGTGGTATTTTAAAATCCTTTTTAAATTTTTTCCGGGATTGTGCCGGGATTGCTAAAATTCTTTAAATTTAAGGAATTTTTTATTAGAAATGTTGTTAATTAGTGAAATATTCAAGATTTCTTTAGTTTTGTATAAAAATTTTGAATTTTTAAATGATTTTTTTCTGAGTGGGGATTTTTAAAATTTTTTTGGGAATTTTTAATTTTTGTGGGAATTAATTTATTTTTAAATTTTAATAAGTTTTACAACATTTCGCACTATTTTAGCAAATTCCCAGTTGAAAAATTTATATATTTTTAAATTTTTTATTAAAATCTGTTTCATTTTTTCTTTCCTCCGAAATATAACAACAATTCTCAACTCCACTTACTTCTTGCTTCCTTTCTGTGCTGTAAAATCAATGTAAACAAAACTTAAAACAACAAAAGTGTTAAAAATTCTTCCCCTCCCCGTCGACTCCCCCTGTTAATGCAGTAAAAAAGTAAAGAGTTTTTTTTTTTGCATAGAAGAGTGTTTTCAAATTCATGTGTTTTTGTTCGGTTGTTTTTGTTTTAAAGGTTTATTTTGTCTTGTATTTTGTTTGATTTGTTTTTTCTTTCTGTTCACACATTATGACACACATGTGTCCTTAGTATGTTTGCGTGTGTGACAATCTCAGTGTTTTTTTGTCAATATATTTTTTAGGAATTGTGTATGAAAGTGTTTTTTTATTTTATTTCATTTTTTATATTGTCTGTATGTTTATTTTATTGTTTTATTGTAAATTTTTTAAGAGTAGTTGTTGTTGCTGCTGATTTTTTTCTTTGCTTATACATTGTTGTCGCTATTGTTGTTTTTATTTTGGACTTTGTTTTTTCCTTTTCTTTTGCTATTGTTTTATTCAGTGACTGCACGATTTTTTTTCTTCTTAAGTACATCTTGTATGTATGTTTGTGTCTCTGTTGGTTTGTTATTTTTTTGGGGAATTGTTTTCTTTTTTTTTGCGACTCATATTATTTTGGAATTATGGAAAAAAGAAGATAAAAATGTAAAAACAACAACGAATAGTGTTAACAAAACTACAATTACAACGGCAATCCACAGATATTTCAAAAATTTTACGCGAATGTGTACAAAATTTAAAGAAATCTTAAAGAAGACTGGACCATTGATTAGACTGTAGACTAGGATAGATAATAGACTATAGTCTAGTCTATAGTCTAGTCTATAGTCTAGTCTATAGTCTAGTCTATAGTCTAGTCTATAGTCTAGTCTAGTCTATAGTCTAGTCTAGTCTATAGTCTAGTCTATAGTCTAGTCTATAGTCTAGTCTATAGTCTAGTCTATAGTCTAATCTATAGTCTAGTCTATAGTCTAATCTATAGTCTAGTCTATAGTCTAATCTATAGTCTAATCTATAGTCTAGTCTATAGTCTAGTCTATAGTCTAGTCTATAGTCTAGTCTATAGTCTAGTCTATAGTCTAGTCTATAGTCTAGTCTATAGTCTAGTCTATAGTCTAGTCTATAGTCTAGTCTATAGTCTAGTCTATAGTCTAGTCTATAGTCTAGTCTATAGTCTAGTCTATAGTCTAGTCTATAGTCTAGTCTATAGTCTAGTCTATAGTCTAGTCTATAGTCTAGTCTATAGTCTAGTCTATAGTCTAGTCTATAGTCTAGTCTACAGTCTAGTCTATAATCTAGTCTATAGCCTAGTCTAGAGTCTAGTCTATAGTGTACTCTAAAATCTAGTATATAGTCTATTATATAGTCTAGTCTATAGTTTAGACTATAGACTAGGGATGAGTTGATTGCTGTGCCTGTTGAGACTTTGCTTGTATTTTGTAACCGTCCCTTTAACCTTCCTATACCCATTTTCTAGTTCGACCATTGTCCAATTCTTTTAATGAAATTATGTTTTTTTTTTTGTTTTGCTTTGAACCTCATATGTAAACACTCACTCATACAGATCGCAAAAAGCTTCAGCTTCAAAAATATGAATTGAGTTTGTTGCCATGGTCTTGGTTGGGGGGAGTATGATGATGTCGAGTGTCTCCAATGTTGTTTTTTTTTTTTTTTTTTTTGTTGTCCTCAACATTTGTTTGTTGTTAATCGTTCGTTGTTAACCTTTACATACTTTGTTTATTTTTATGAGTATGTATTTAAAAAAAAAGTAAAAAATTATATGTACATGACGGCGTCATATTGTATATAGCAAAAATTAATTGAAAACAGGGGGGAAAAGAATGAAATCATGGTAAACAAATTGTAGCTTCAAAAAGTACTTTTTAATTTAAAAAAATTTCCAAAATATTTCACTAAAATTTTATCAATTTTGTCCAAAATTGCATGTTGTCAGCAGTTTATATATAAATTTTACATTTTATGTCCATTTAATGACATTTTGAAAATAGTAGTAGAAAAAGTACTTTTTTCAGTTTTAGGAAAATTTCTTTAAAATTGATAAATTTTGTTTTAAATAACATGTTTTCAACATTTTATATTACGTATAATTTGAAATTTTTGTCCATTTAATGACATTTTTAAAATAGTAGTAGAAAAGTACTATTTTCAGTTTTTGGAAAATTTCTTTAAAATTGACCAGTTTTGCTTAAAATTGCAAGTTGTTTACATTTTATACAGAAAATTTGATTTTTTCTGCATTTAGAGACATTTTAAAAATAGTAGTAGAAAAAGTACTTTTTTCAGTTTTTGCAAAATTTCAATAAATTTTTAGTTTTATTGAAAATTAAGAGAAAATACTTTGAATATTAATCAAAAATATGTTAAATAGTACTTTTTTAGTACTTTTTTTGTTATAATTAAAGAATACACTCTTTTAGTTGAATATTTGGCAATTTTGTTTCTTTTAATTTTTGTTTTTGATATTTGGACGCCATAATTAATTGTATGTTTCGCAGGGAAAGAGGAGTTAAAAGCAAGACTATGACATAGACCACAAAGAAAAAAAAGATTCAATAATTTGAAAATAATAAATTTTAATTAAAATCACCACCAACAGATTCACACAAACTAAACAACAATTTCTACATTTAAAACAATTATTTGAAAAATTGTTACAAAAATCACCTGTTTTTAAAAAATAAAACAAATCTGTTCTTCTCAAACTTAACACTCTTTAACTTGCAACAACTTCTGGAGAATATATGTTTAACACTTTTTCTTTATTCATTTTTTAAATTTCTTTTATTTATTTAGTTTTTGAAAAAATATTTACAAAAAAAAAAAAAACGAACAAAAATTTAAACAATTCAACTAAAGCCAACCAACCACAGCCAAGCTAACCGAAAAGCAATTCTTACATAAATATTTTGACAACTTAATATTTGACATTTTACTTGTCAAATCAGTAATAAAACAAAAATAAAGAAGAGATCATTCAACTCTCAGATTTAATTGTTTTATTACTCATCATCATCAACATACATCAGACATGGAAAACTCAGTACTTTAGTACATTTTGAAATCAAAATCTTTGGTACTTTTTCCAACCTATAAACTTTTGATAAACAAACCACTAGTCTAGTCTATAGTCTAGTCTATAGTCTAGTCTATAGTCTAGTCTATAGTCTAGTCTATAGTCTAGTCTATAGTCTAGTCTATAGTCTAGTCTATAGTCTAGTCTAGTCTAGTCTATAGTCTAGTCTATAGTCTAGTCTATAGTCTAGTCTATAGTCTAGTCTATAGTCTAGTCTATAGTCTAGTCTATAGTCTAGTCTATAGTCTAGTCTATAGTCTAGTCTATAGTCTAGTCTATAGTCTAGTCTATAGTCTAGTCTATAGTCTAGTCTATAGTCTAGTCTATAGTCTAGTCTATAGTCTAGTCTATAGTCTAGTCTATAGTCTAGTCTATAGTCTAGTCTATAGTCTAGTCTATAGTCTAGTCTATAGTCTAGTCTATAGTCTAGTCTATAGTCTAGTCTATAGTCTAGTCTATAGTCTAGTCTATAGTCTAGTCTATAGTCTAGTCTATAGTCTAGTCTATAGTCTAGTCTAGTCTATAGTCTAGTCTATAGTCTAGTCTATAGTCTAGTCTATAGTCTAGTCTATAGTCTAGTCTACAGTCTAGTCTATAGTCTAGTTTTGTTTTTACCTACAGTCTAGTCTATAGTGCTATTTTAAATTTTTAATTATCCATCCCTGCTCTGCATTATGTTGTAACGGAAATTATTTTTCTTACTTCAATCTAAAAGAGTTTATCACTCTTTATTGATACAAAAGTGAAATAATACTCTGATTAAGAATTCAAACTTCTATTGATTGTAACTTGATCAATAAAACCTTTACAATATCAAATTGCGGAAATAATTGAACAAAAAAAGAAATAAAAAATCTTTTACAATAAAAAAACTACTTAAGAAATCAACATATAAAGGAAAATTTTCAATTTCAAAGCATTTTGAGAAATGTACTTTGACAGATTTTCTCGATTTATATGAAAATGAGAATAAGTACTTTTTCTACTACTATTTAAAAAGTTAAAAAATTACTTAATTTAATAATTCCCTTTCTAATTTAATGATAAAGCCCACATTTAATTTGGGTCCAATTTGAAGAAAAGTACTTTTTCTACTACTATTTTTAAAATGACTTCATAATTTAAAAAATTGCTTAATTTTGGAAGTTTCTTTCTAATACAAACATAAAACCAACATTTTATGAATTTTGGCTTTAATTGAAAAAGTACTTTTTCTACTATTATTTTGAAAATTACTTTGAAATTAAAAAAATTGCTTAATTTTGTAGTTTCCTTTCTAATTGAAAGATAAAACCAACTTTTTATGAATTTTGAACGAATTTGAAAAAAGTACTTTTTCTACTACTATTTTAAAAATACCTTTAAATTTTAAAAAAATTGCTTAATTTTGTAATTTACTTTCTAATTAAAAGATAAAACACACTTTTTATTAGTTTAGGACCAATTTGAAAAAAGTACTTTTTCTACTACTATTTTGAAAATAACTTTAAAAGTAGAAAAATTGCTTAATTTTATAATTTTTTACTAATTGAACTAATTTTGGACGAATTTGAAAAAAGTACTTTTTCTACTACTATTTTAAAAATACCTTTAAATTTAAAAAAATTGCTTAATTTTGTAATTTCCTTTCTAATTGAAAGATAATACACATATTTTATTATTTATTTAGGACCAATTTGAAAAAAGTACTTTTTCTACTACTATTTTGAAAATTACTTTAAAAGCAGAAAAATTGCTTAATTTTGTAATTTATTTACTAATTGAAAGATAAAATCAAATTTTTATAAATTTGGACGAATTTGAAAAAGTACTTTTTCTACTACTATTTTAAAAAGTTTTGCAAAATGACTGAAATTCTTTCTAAAATGTGGAAGACACATATCGGGGGACAAACAAGGTAAGTTTTTAGAAAAAGTACTTTTTTGGTACTTTTTATAAAAATGGAAAACTGTTAAAATTTATTGATTTTTGGCCACAATTTCAATATTTTCTTATTGTTTTAAGTTTTTTTTCTTATATTCTTGTTAATGCCTTAATAAATCCATTGTAGGAATATGACCTAAATTTTACTAAAGTTAATTAAGTAGGTGAAAATTTAGCCGCCTTTTTTGAAAACAACACACACTCTTAGACATTTTTTTCCGGGAAAAACTACTCTAATATTAACAGAAGTTAATACATATTATATAAAGACAACAGGGAAAAATAGGGAAAATTTTCTTTAAAAAAACCAACTACTTCAAGACAAAACAAACCACAAATAAAACAAAAGGCATTAAAGAAAGACAACACAAGCAACAAATTGTTAGTCAACTTAAGTATAAAGAAAAGGAAACCATTTTGGGAAAAAAGGCGCAAAAACTTTTTAAGGGAAAATCTAACAAAAAAAAAAACAAGGAAATTTTCTTTCAATATGTGGAGAAATATTTGTTATTTCTAGAACAACAACATGTTGCATAGAATTGCAACAAAACAAACAACAAAAATTGGATAAAAAGGAAAAATTGCACATGTCCTGTAAACGAAGACGTTATGAGTTGAACGTATAGTAACACTCTCTCCCTCTCCTACAGTCACAACATTCCTAAACACGAAAGGAAAAAAAACGAGTGCAGTAATATGACTAGATAACGGATATTTACACTCACACATACATACAAGGATACAGGAAAAAAAGCCGGCAATTAAAAACAATAACAAAAAGTTGGAAATTAAGCAAAGAGTGTAAAAGGGAGGATTACAGAAAAATTTTACACATATTTCTCTCTACTCATGCATTTAGTTTGGATGTGTTTGTGTGCATGTGTATCTAATTACCGCAAAAAATGCATCTGCAGGACGTTCAATAAAATAATATCCTAGAATCGTATATTTAGTTGTTGTTGTAATTGTTTTGTAGCTTAATGTGTTTTTCTATCAATATATGTATAAATGTTCAATATTGTTTAGAACACTTATAGAAATTTTTGGTTTAAAAACTGAAATAAATTTAAGGAAAGTTGAAAAAAAATTTCAACTAAAAGTACTTTTTTGGAAAAACTTAAATTTCACTTATTAGTTAATTTTAAACAATAGGTACTTTTTTTCAATAATTTCTAAACATTTTATACATTTTTACTAAAAAGTACTCTTTTGGTACTTTTTCAAAATTTAAATTTCATCCAAATGAACACAAAATTGTCTATATTTCGATAAAAACTATAATTTTATAATATTTTTTTTAACATTTTATAAATTTTTAGCAAAAAGTACTTTTTTTGATACTTTTTTGAAAAACTTAAATTTCCCCCAAATGAACACAAAATTGGCTTATTTTCAATAAAAACTATATATTTAACCATTTTATTGGTCATTTTATACATTTTTAAGAAAAAGTACTTTTTTTTGGTACTTTTTTTGCAAAACTAAAATTCACCAAAATTAATACAAAATTTATTAATATTTCATAATAACTTCTTCTTAGATAAATTTTGACCTAATTTATTTAATTTTACCACCATATTACACATTTTTAACAAAAAAGTACTTTTTATAAAATTTTTACGTACATTTGCAGAAATTTTCAGGCATTTTTAAAAAAGTAGTATTTCTACTACTACTTTAATTTTTACAAAATTGTGTTATTTTTGGCATATCTAAGTATATTAATAAGATTTACTTTAAATATTTAAATTTTTGGAGATTTGTGGACATTTTTAAATACATATATTTATATACATATGTATGTATGAATTGTTAATTTTGAAAGTAGTGTGACTCCACATTCCAAACAATGGGTTTAAGGATAACTATTCTAATTTTTAAGAGAAAATTATAAATTAGAGAATTGTGGTATATTCCATTCAAGTTTCTAATAAAAGTTTTATGTAATCTGAACATTTTAATACATTTTAGAACACATATGTAAATTGCAAATTGTCTTTGGCACACATCTTTTTAAAAACATTAAAATTTAAAAACTTCTACATATATCTCATTTCAACCATTGGACTCACTATACTTTCAAAATTAACAATTCATATACGTAAATATGTCCCTTTTATGCCTGTTTATGTACAAGAAATTTATTTAAAATAATACACATTTATTATATTTTGTTCCGTTATGTAATTTTTCATGAAAAATATAACAAAAATAAATAAAATCCAATATTTTATGTGTATTATTTGAATTTAAACATACAAAATGTGTTGTTCAATAATACGAATTTTTCGGTATTACGAAAGGGCCTGACACTATATAATTCGTACTAGTGGACGTCCACTGTAAGTAGTATTTCTACTACTATTTTTATTCTTACAAAATTGTGTAATTTTCCGCATATTTAAGTATACTAGCAATATTTTTTTTTAAATACTATAATTATCAATCATTTTAGGCATTTTTAAAAAAGTAGTATATCTACTACTATTTTTATTTTTACATAAATTGTGTAATTTCTGAGTGATAAAGACTCCTAATATTATTTTTTGTTTAATTCTTTGGTTTTTGCTGACTTTTATGCCGTTTTTGTAGTATTTCTACTACTATTTTTATTTTTACAAAATGTTTCTATTTTCCGCATATTTAAATATACTAGTGAAATTTTCTTTAAATACTTTCATTTTCAGTGAATTTTAGGCACTTTTTAAAATGTAGTATTTCTACTACTATTTTTATTTTTACAAAATGTTTCTATTTTCCACATATTTAAATCTACTATTGAAATTTTCTTTAAATACTTTAATTTTCAGTGAATTTCAGTAATTTTTTAAAATGTAGTATTTCTACTACTATTTTTACAAAATTTTTCCATTTTCCGCATATATAAA